GCTTGAAGGACCCAAATGGAATTTCCCACAGCCCCAATATTCATGCTTCCTAAGGAGATGTATATGGTGTGTGTGTGTGTGTTTGGAATGCGCACTCTCCAGATGCTCCACTGTAATACTCCCTCTTGGAAACCAACTCTGAGAAGCCCAAGACAAAGAAGAGGCTAATATAGCTGCTCTGGTCAGCAGTTCCGGCTGGAGCCAGCCTTGGAGTCACCCCAGCCCAGGGTAAAGAAGCCGGAGGGTGGTTCCAGCCCCAGCTGTGTGAGTCACCATAGCAAATGGAATTTCCCACAGCCCCAATATTCATGCTTCCTAAGGAGATGTATACGGTGTGTGTGTGTGTGTGTGTGTGTGTGAAATCTTTGACTAAGGGAGTATAAGAAACAGTGCGAGTTAAAAGTGCCGTATTTAAGGGGTGAGAAACAACCATTTTCATGGAAAAGTGTAGGTTGAGCAGAGGAGAGATACCAAATTGAAAGGCACCCAGTAAACCAGCCACATGCAGACAGGATCGTAAGCTGGCAAAGGAAGACCTAAGCCTGGTTGTGCGGGGCAGGGTGGCTGAGGAAGGACCAGGAAGCATCTGTATACAAAGTACTTTGAAGACAAGCTGCTCACACAAAGCCTTTCCTCTCTTGGCAGAATAATCAGTCAATAAGGCGCTAGAATGGGCAGGAGCACCAGACTGAAATTAGCTAATGAAGGTCGTAATGTACCTGTATTACACATCATTAGCAAAGGCCTTCCCGTAACAGATGGGTGTGCGGGTAAGTGAGGAGAAAGGGAGGGTTTGATTTAGGGTAGTTCTTACTGGCGAGAACGTAGTGTCCATCATCGTCTCAATGAAACCTCTGCGCAAAAGGCAAGCTTCTGTGCTTTCCCGTGGTGCTGCCCGCATAGAAATGCTGCCTGCAGCTTGCCTTCCTCTGGTCCAGATTCATCTCATAGGTAGAAGCCAACAGTTCGGAGAACTGATGAGAAGTGCTGGGACTTTGATGGCCAGATCAATCCCTGGTGATCTTACCTCTTTTTTTAATTTTGTTTTATTCCTTAAAATATTACAAAGAGTGGTACATATGTCTAACTTTTTTTCCCCCTTGACCTTTCCCCAGCCTCCCCTATCCTCCAGTATCTTGTGTCCA